CCGACCCCAGAAGAGGCGCCTGCGACCCAGCGTCTAACCTCTCTACATCTGGCGAAGAAGCAGGCGGATGCCGCCATCGCTGGAGAAAGTGAGGAGGAGGACAGTGAGAGCGAAGGAGAAGGAATCTACCGAGAACGGGACGAGTTTGTGGTCCGGACCGAGGACATCGGGACGCTGAAGGTGAGAATCTCCTCGGACTAGATGTGTGGTAAATGGATGTTTTTCCAGCGACAATATCAACTGTAATCGTCTGTTGTCAGATGGCCTTGCAGACGGGTCGGGAGCCTCCGCCCATCTGGAGGGTTCAGAAGGCCCTGCTCCAGAAGTTCAGCCCCGAGATCAAAGACGGTCAAAGGCAGTTCTGTGCCACCAGTAATGTGAGTCAGGCAGTGTTCATGTTTTTGAAAAAAAATAGGGAATATGAAGGAGTACAGTGGTCATATTTATTGTGTCTGATTGTCTTCTAATCCCCGCCGTCTCTCTCCTCAGTACCTGGGCTATTTTGGAGATGCCAAAATGCGTTACCAGCGTTTGTATGTGAAGTTCTTGGAGAACATTAACAAAAAAGACTACGTCAGAGTGTGTTCCCGAAAACCCTGGCACAAAGCTGCTCTGACCCTGAGGTGAGAAAGGTTCAAAAAATATATCCCAGTCTGAAGACAGGAATCCTCTGGTCCAAACCAGAACATTCATTCACTCTGTGCTTTCTTTGTGATTTTGACTTTGTGGCAGACGACAGTCACTACCAAAACAAACCAGCAGTCTTCACAATCACACCCCGCCTCGGCTGGAGAGAGAGGAGAGAGACAAGGAGAGGCAGAAGGAGAGAGAAAAAGAACAGAGAGAGAGGGAGCACAGGGAGAAGGAAAACAGAGAGAGAGAGAGGAAGGAAGACGAGAAGATGGAAAAGCAGGATGACCAAAGAGACATGTCCAAAAAAGTAGAGAGGGATAAGGAAAACGAGAGAAGAGAGAGTGAGCGCAAGAACTGGGAGTTGAAGGAAGAGGAGAGGAAGGAGTGGGAGCGAAAAAAAAGGGAGCGGGAGGAGAGGGAACAAAAAGAAAAGGAGAGGGAGGAGAGGGAAAAGGAAGAAAGTGAGCAAAGACAGAAGGAAGCACAGGAGAGAGAAAGAAAAGAACGGGAGGAGAGGGAACAAAAGCAACGGGAGAAGCTGGAGAGGGAGCGGAAGGAAAAGGAGGAGAGGGAGCGTTTAGAAAGGGACAAAAAGGAGAGGGAACGAAAAGACAGGGAGAGACAGAGGAAAGAACAAAAAGAGAGGGACAAACTGGAGAGCGAGAGGAGAGACAGGGAGCAAAAAGAGAGGGAGAGGCAGGAGAGAGACCGCAAAGAAAAAGAGAGGGAAACGAGAGACAAGGAGCGAGAAAAGAGGGAGAAAGAGAGGAGAGAACCGAAAGACCGGAACCAGGCGGAGAATAAAAAGGACAAGGAGGTGAAAGAGAGAGAGAAGGAGAAACAGGGGGTTCACCTTAAAGAAAAGAGAGAGCGGGAGGAGCGGGTGAGGAGGGAGGGTAGGGTGGAGTTCTCCAGGATGAAGGAGGTAAAGAGAGCAGGAGAGAAGATGGAGCAGGAGTCCAGGAGCAGGTCCTCCAAGGAGCAGGCCGATCCTCCTCCTGCAAAGAAGAAGAGGTGGCCGAAGGAGGTGCCGTCCTCCTCCTCTGAGTCCGACTCCTCTGCCCACAGTGACGATGAAGGTCAGTACTTTACTGAAGCAGCAGTGGTAAAACTAGAAGAAGAACAATGAGGATAGAACCAACACCGTTCTCCTCCGTCCTCTGTCGTTGTGTTCCAGGGCCGGTCAGGGCTGCAGTCAACAGTCGGGCCATGAGAGAGATGTTCAGGAGCTACGTGTGAGTTATGCTCGCGGCTGGGTGGTGTACGGGTGGTAGGGTTGGGGGGGGGGGTGGGCCCTCTGCTGGCAGGAGTATATTCCAATATTTCATATCCTGAAGTATTTTCCAGTTTGAACAAACATCACATTTTTAACCAAACTTGAACAGAAACCAGTGAATCAACAATGAATCTAGAACCATCTGATTTTACTTTTCTGTTCCTGAGACCAGACAAAACAGAAGGTTGTGACCTGGTGTCAAAGGTCATCCCCCAGAGCTCTCTTTCATGGATTGACATTAATAATGATTTTTTTTTTTTTTACATTTGTCTGTGAAGTTATTGATGGGTTTGCGTCTTACTTCCGCTCTCGCTCGGTCACATGACGTGTCTGGTCAAACCATCAGAATAACACGACGACACATGCTTCCCTCACACAGATGAGTTGTACCTCCCACCCATGAGGAAGATTGACAGTCTGCTGAGTGAACAGAAGAAGAGGCTGTTGAGGAGAGCCAACATGAGTGCTCAGCACCAGGTAACCACTCCAACACTTCTAACCTTTGTTTGACTCAGGTGTGTTACATCACATTACTTTAATGGTTAGTGATGGAATACTTTAACCGTACTGACCCCAGAAGGCAGACGGTGAATGAGTGATGATGCAGAGACCAGTGGATTAAAGGTTGATTTCATTTAGTTTTTTTTTTACTCAAAAGGTTAATTTGATTTGTGTCTCTCTCCAAACAGGAAGCTCTGCATATTTTCCCCAAAATGACAGCAGACCCCCTGGAGTCCGGAGTGGCCAGAGTTCATCTCGGTGGAGACGGCTACAACCGCAAAACTCTCAACCGGGTCAAAAGGATTTTACCCAAGCAACAGGTCAGAGCCTGACATTGTCAAGAGGAAGTAACACTGATCGCAAAACCTGAGGCCGTGTCCTACTTTATAGGTCAAAAGACAAACAAGGACAAATACATTAGATATTTATTTATATGTTTATATTTAATTCAAGATAATAATAATTACAAAAAAACGTTCTTTATATTTAATTCAACATAATAATAATTACAAAAAAAAATTCTTGACCGTGACGTGTTTGTGTATTTTTTTTATTTTAAAAATTCATCAAAAGGGCCGGATTGAACACCCTAGTGGGTCGGTTTTGGCCGCCAGGCCGTATGTTTGACACCAGTGCTATAAACCATTTCTCTTCTCATTTGTAGGACCTGAAGCTTCCGATAGAAACCTGCAGGATGTATAGTCTGTATCATTCCCTTCACCACTACAAGTACCACACCTTCCTGCATTGCAAGAAGGAGGTAAGGATGTCTCTGTGCCGCATTAGCATCATTATGTAATATCTGTAAGAATCGTTATTGGTTTTTCCTCTGGTAATGACAACCCGATTACGCAATGCCTGGGTTTAGTCAAATGACGTGTGCCCTAAAAATAGTTTTGGGGTTAAACGACTGTACTGTAAGTGAACGAACAGCATCGGTTGATGTCTGAAGTCAGAAATGTGTTTGGACAATATCGGCTGTATCGGACATCCCTAGTCAGTCAAGTCACTTTTTTTCCTTTTTGTTTTGCTCAGACTGACAGTATTGAGCAGGCAGCGGACGACCCCGGCCAGGAGGAGGTGGTGCAGCAGTGCATGGCTAACCAGGGCTGGCTGGAGAGTCTCTTTAAGTCCTTTGTGGAGCTGATTAGTCTCAGTGCCAAGGCATGAGGGGCAGCACAAGCCGTGTGACGGACTCAAACATCTTCCTCTAGTATGGACCAGATGCTGGCGTACAGAGTTTAGATAAAAAAATAAACAACAACAACAACAAAAACACAGACTGTAGAGATGTAACAGAAGAGACTTGGACGTTGGTCTGTTTCTGTCAGAGGTTTACTTTTACATTTAAAGTGTTTGTTTTACTATTGAATTTATGTGACAGTAATGAGTAATGTATTGGAAGATGGGACGTAGTGAACCGTGTCAAAGACAGAGACAAACCTTCATCGAGGAAGTTCAACTTCCTCAGCAGTGGCTGACCGGTGGTCAGTTTCTCCAAATCACCAAGTGTTGCTTTAAAAAAAACAAAAAAAAAAACACCAAGTGTTTAGTTTAGTCCTGGTCTGTAATGAAAACCAAAATTTGATTATTTACTGTTCTACACACACACACGCACACACACACAAGAAAGTCACTAAGCAGTATTTGATCGAAATTTGCAGTAGGACGCATCGATACTGCTGTTGTGTAAAAAAAAAAAAGACGTGTAATTTATTTTGATTCCTTCATTAGATGTAAAGTGACTGAGACTTCGGGAGGTTTAAAGACTATGTGATAGTCTCCTGTTTCTACCTGCCTCAGTGGGACAGTCGGTCAGGCTGAGGAGTATTGCATTGTATTTAAATATGTGTTATGTTTGTTCTTCAAAAGACAAGAGAAAGTGATTTCACACGTGTGAAGAAGAGGAATTAAAAAAAAAACCCAAGACTTCTTTAGAGGAAGTGAGAGGTAAAATGATCTAAAAGCCTAAGTGTCTGTGTTTAACGTGAGTCATTTTTATCTGTTTGTTGTTATGGATATTTCTGATCGTTTGCCTCCCTAATAAGGACATTATTGCAAAGCAGTTTTGTTGTTTAGACATGTAAATAGTGTACAGTTACTTCATTCTCTAGTTCCTCGTTGATCTTCTGTACATGAAATTCACGTATTTGACAAATTGAAATAAAACTGTTCAAATGCAGATGTGACCATAAATAAAACAACGCTGTGCAGATCCTTTAATCAATCTTTGGGAGTGAAAGAGAAAAGTGCATTAAACATAAAAGTAAACTATCTACACAACAATAAACAACCTTCACAGAGAACATCTGTGGTTTATTTAGGTTCACACAGACGTAAAGTAAGCGGATAAATTGTTGGTTGTCAAGGCCATAAAACGACTCTTTTTTTACACAGTGGATGTTTTTTAGTTGTTTTACTGCCACCTTGTGGTAATTGTGTTTTTATTGACTCATTGCCAGGTCTGGATGTACGCCACTCTTCGCGGGTCTATCTCCACCTTGTTGTCAAGGTCTTTTTGTCATTTTTTGCTTTTCTTTAATCCAATTGGCGGGTTTATAGTATTCGATAGCTAATCAGCGTTCGTGGTTGGGGCGGGATTAGATGTAAGCGACCGACCTCGCTTCAAACGGAGGCCGATAATAGCGGTTTAAAAATGTAATATTGTGTTTAAAAGTGTCTAGAACGGCAGCGGCAGACGACCATTTTGACGATTTTTATTTTAAACGTTCGTCAAAAAAGTAAGACTTTGGTTGAACTTTGTTTTAAAACGGAATGAATGTTGTGATTGATACATTGCTAACCGCGATTAGCTGTCGACATAAATGCTTACTCATTCTTGTCCTTTAAGTTTCTTAACCGTCAGTTAAAGTAATGTTAGTTGTCTGTTAAAATGACACTCTAACGTTCCAATCCGGTTCAGGAGACAAACAGTTAGTTATGAGACGACGTTAGGACCACAAGGAAGACCAAGTTTCCCCAGGTAATGTTCTATCGTTTCGATGACCTACCAACCGCCAACCGAGCTGCCCTTGTCACTACATCAAAGGGTACCGTGAGTACTAGAAACTAACGTCTACATTTTGTTGTTATTTTTGTGTTACCCTAAACGTTTTAAGGCTTCAGAACTTGTGTTGTGTTAAAGCAACTTTATATGTAATTATACACAGAAGGCCAAACGAGGCTTCGTGAAGATTTGAATCGTTTTGTACCATTGTATGAATCATTGGGTTTACTGCTGAAAACGTTCATTGAGCAAAGAACGTATGGGTGACATCTGCTGGCTGGATGCTTGTCGTGCATTTTTCTTTTGTTGTATTGCGAAAATTACTTTAAACAAATAATAACAAAACAAAAATAAATAAATACATTCGTTTTTTAAATTTATTAATAAGTATTGATTTTCAAGTTACACATTAAATTAATAGATGAATTGTTTACATATTTTTCTCCCTACATTTTTAAAGCAAACTCCAGAGCAAAGATTACATTGTTATGTAAGTTCTGTAAAAGCCCCTCCCCTCTTTGAATCCGGGGATTTTTCTTTTCCTGGCACTGCTGTTGAACCACAGACAGGACCAATTATTTGCTCCATTATCTCCACCTTCAGTATTGGTTCAGTTAAGAGTTCCTTTGGTTGCGTTCACAAGCGGACATGTGCCTTTGATATCTTTGTAGTGCACATAAGAGGAGTTGGCGATAAAAGCTACAAAGCATGAAGAAACAAACTGCAGTGAAGAATAAGTGAGATCCCTGAGTATAGTCGGTCTTAGCCATCTGCAAGCAGTCAATAATTGAAGCAGCAAGCATCAAGCATCATTGTCAGTTACCATAGCACCTCTGGTGATACAGATCCATCTTTTACCGTCGTTGTTCTGACCATTTTTCAAGCAAAATGAGGGAAATTGTTCATCTGCAGGCTGGGCAGTGTGGAAACCAGATAGGAGCCAAATTCTGGGAGGTAATAAGTGATGAACATGGTATTGACCCATCAGGGACCTACCATGGAGACAGTGACCTGCAGTTAGAGAGAATCAATGTGTATTACAACGAGGCATCCGGTGGGAAATATGTCCCTCGTGCAGTTTTGGTTGATTTAGAACCAGGAACCATGGACTCTGTGAGGTCCGGTCCATTTGGTCAGATCTTCAGACCAGACAGCTTTGTCTTTGGTCAGACTGGAGCTGGTAACAACTGGGCCAAAGGACACTACACCGAAGGAGCCGAGCTGGTGGACTCTGTCCTGGATGTAGTGAGGAAGGAGGCGGAGAGCTGTGAATGTCTCCAGGGTTTCCAGCTCACCCACTCCCTGGGGGGAGGTACCGGTTCCGGCATGGGTACACTGCTCATTGGAAAAATCCGTGAAGAATATCCAGACCGAATCATGAACACCTTTAGCGTGGTGCCCTCTCCTAAAGTGTCGGACACAGTGGTGGAGCCGTACAACGCCACTCTGTCGGTCCACCCGCTGGGG